ATAATGTAAGCAGGAAGAAAAAAAGAAAAGAAAAGAAAAGGAATGCCAGCAGGGGCCTCTGCCTCGCTCCCCAGAGTATCCCACGCGCCGAGAGCAGCGCCCAGCTCAAAGGACGCGGGACCGGAGGGGAGCGTGCGCAGTGCTGTCGCGGCCCGCCATTGGGCGGGCCGAGGGAACTACATGTCCCATGCTGCCTCGCGAGCACCGCCCCCCCATCCCGCGCAGGCGCAGCCCCGCTAGGGCGTCCTCTGCGGCGGAAGAGCTAGGCGGTGGGGGGTTGTGCGTCCAAGAGAGGATACCCCTCGCGCGCGGCCGCCATGCCGGACAGCTGGGACAAGGACGTGTACCCCGAGCCCCCGCGCCGCACGCCTGCGCCCTCGCCGCAGACCTCGCTGCCCAACCCCATAACCTATTTGACAAAGGCCTTCGACGTCCTCGTGGACCGGCCCGTGACCCTAGCGAGAGGTACAGACCCTATCCGGGCCTCGCCGCTCCCCAGGGCCCCTCGCCGCCCTTCGGCGATCCCCGCACCCCTTCGCCCAACCCCGGGCTTCGCCCCCGTGACCATCCCCCGCCGTCCGCACTTGCGGGCAGCGTCGCCTCCTTGGACCCCCCGCTCCCCACCGTCACTGCACCCTGGGAACGCCCCTCACTCCTACACCAAGACCACTCACTGCTTTCGCGCCCCCGCCGCCTGGGGAACCCTCTACGCACCCCTCGTCGCCGTCTCCGGCCTCGCCCAAATATTAGCGGATCGCAGTCTAGCCCGGGGCTTGCTAAACCCCATTCTCCCTGCACGCTTTGCATCTAGCGTTGGGCGCAGATGGCAGTCAGCAAACGGGTGTTGCCAGCCTTCTGCACAACTGCTGCAAAATGATCGGGGTGGTCAAGTGCTGGCCGAGGTCCCTTCAACCTAGATGTGCTGTGACTTGTACTCCGTGTGTGCTTACGCTTAAGAACTGTCCAGATCCCATCTCTGGTCCAAACCGCAAGAGAATCACTATATTCCAGGCCCAGTTTGTTGTTCAGCTAGACCAGTGGAGGCAGCAGCAGGAGCACACTGCCCTCAGTCACTGGTGCCTGGCATTTCATCCATGCATTTAACTCATTCATTCGTTCAAACAACCCAGCCACCCACGTGCTGCGATGCCCCGGTGGCTCCTTTCTTTGGATAAGGTCAGCAGATCAGAACCCCAAATCTGGAAAAGGCACAGCAGTGAACCCACTCTTTCTTAGAAAGTGTTTTGTGTGTCTGGAAGGATGAGATTTCACTAGTCCCAACTTACCAATTTCTGGGTGGGGATGCTGAGGCCAGGTTAGTGGCAGCAAAACTGGCTTGGGGCCTCTGCCTACACAGGAAGACCCTGTGTTGTGGGGAGGTTGGCCAGCAGGTAGGACCTATAGTAGGGTGTGGGCTTGCAGAGAATGGGTTCAGAATCCTGAATTCTCTCTGGGCCTACGTACTCTACTGGGAGCTACCCCCGGCATAATACACATGGTGCCTGGCTCCCAGGAAGCCCTCCGTAAACCATAAACGGTGGACCTCACCATTAGTAACCCAGGACAACCAGCCACACCTGTTCTCTGAGAGTCTAATTAGCAGTATTTGTAAAAGCAGTCTGCCCCTTCCACGTCTTGTGAGAAAGGAGAGAGCTAAGAGCAATTTTTGTGGCCTGTCCAAACCAACGGGGCCTTTTGAGTCTGGGGTTTTTTCTTTACAGAGTTTATAGAGCGGCAGCATGCGAAGAACAGGTATTACTACTACCACCGGGAGTTCCGCCGTGTGCCAGACATCACTGAGTGCCGGGAAAAGGATATCTTGTGCATGTTTGAAGCAGAAATGCAATGGAGAAGAGACTAGTATGTCCTGCCTGTGTGTGTCCCTTAGGAAACACTGAGCCTCACTCAGCACCTCTGTTGGGTTCTTAGCCCCAGGGATACCATGGGATGGTGGTCAGCCACCAAGAAGGCCTCCTGGGGTTCGCCCAGATCTTGAGGGTGGAGGGGCCAGACAATAGGGCCCTAAGATCTTGCTTTCATTCTGCTATCTCTGGATACAGGGAAAAGATTCCTCTTGAACCACCTTTGTTTTTTTCAGTAAAGTTGATCAAGAAATCGTCAACATTATCCAGGAAAGGCTGAAGGCCTGTCAGCAGAGGGAAGGTGAGAACTACAGGCAGAACTGTGCCAAGGAGCTGGAGCAGTTCACCCAGGTGGCCAAGGCCTACCAGGACCGCTGTAAGCAAGCCCCCACCCTGAGCCTGATCCTTCAACCCTAACTTCACTGCCCAAATTGTGCCAGTTGGTTGGGGGAGGGGGTGATTAAGAGAATCACTATATTCCAGGTCCCTTTTCTGTTCAGTATGTTAGCTATTTCCTCCCCACTTTTAAAAAAGACTCTGGTCTGTATCCTGGTAGATTTAGCCCATGACTTCCGTCCCCCTCTTTCCCAGATCATGACCTGGGGGCCCATTATTCTGCCAGGAAGTGCCTGGCAAAACAGAAGCAGCGGATGTTGGCAGAGAGGAAGGCGGCTAAAGAGGCCGCCACTGCCTAAAGCAGCTCCCTGAGCACCTTCACAAGATTACTATTAAAATAAAGAATAATTAAAGAAACCTGTTTCTGGTGTCACCTTTAGTTGCCAACCTGGATCTGTTGACCTCACTGGTCCGATCTCCCTTTAAATCCAGCTACAACTTAAGTTCATAAGAAAAATACACAAAAAACACTATTAACAAGTTTTAGTTCACTTTATTTTTCTTGTATAAAACTAGGTGGTGGCCACAGCTGGAGCCTGGGTCCTCTGCACAGAGACTCTGGTGTGGGTCTTCACAAGATGATCAGTGAATTCCTAGAAAAAGACACAAGCCTTTTAGCTGTAACCACACCTCAGCACCCTGTACACACCTGTCCAGGCTAAGGAAGTGGCTAGGCAGCCAGTACCTGATATGGAGACTTGGTGAACACTGTCTCCTTCCAGAGATCAGGGGTGAGATAGCTGTAAGTCTTGGAGATGGCATCAAAAGTAGCCTTAGCTGGAAAAGAGAAAATAGAAGGTTGGCGGATACACGTGACACAACACCCCAGATGCAGACAGAAGATGTTGCGCTCCTAGGAACAGAGGCCACTTGGGGCCAGTCTGCCGTGCATTAGGAGGGCCTTCCTCTCTCTCTCAAAATACGCCAAGCACACACTGAGTATGATAAAGCGGAGCTGAGAGAGACCACAGCCTCTGTGAGGGCCACCTACCGAAGTTCCCCAGCGTGGCAGTGCAGCCTCTGGCTGAAGTGTAGCAGTCGTCGATACCGGCCATCATCAGTAGCTTCTTGGGCACAGGGGCTGAAACAATGCCAGTGCCTCTGGGGGCGGGGATGAGACGCACCAGCACAGAGCCACAGCGGCCAGTCACCTGCAAAAGGTGGAGGAGTCAGGAGATGGCCTAGGGGGAGTCGGCACCACCGGAGGCCCCATTACCCCCCAAGCCTACCTTGCATGGGACAGTGTGAGGCTTGCCGATCTTGTTCCCCCAGTAGCCTCGCCTCACGGGGACGATGGAAAGCTTGGCTAGGATGATGGCCCCACGGATGGCAGTGGCGACCTCCTTGGAGCACTTAACACCCAGGCCGACATGTCCGTTGTAATCTCCGATGGCAACAAACGCCTGTGAGGAACCTGACATGGTTAGGGGTCCGCTGGTTGGCACAGCACCAGCAGCCACCAACTGGGCCTGTGGCGCCCCTCAAGGAAGGAGTGGCCACCGTGAGGCCACTCTGAAGTCCTGAGGAGATCCTTTCTCTCTCTCCCCGTTACGAAAGCCACGCATGTAGTGACAAGCGTGACCATGCAGAGCTGAGAGAGTCTCACCCAGCCCCTTGGCAGGCGCAGCCCAAGAACACACGAGGTGACTAGAATACCTTGAACCTGGTCCGCTGGCCAGCACGGGTCTGCTTTTGCACAGGCATGATTTTCAGAACCTCATCCTTGAGGGATGCTCCCAGAAAGAAATCAATGATCTCAGATTCCTGTGGGATAAAAGATTCCAACGAAAGCATTCACTAGAAAACTCAGGAATCACCTGTAACCATTCCCCCTAAAGAACCTCCACCCAGCTCCTAAAACTACTTTTCCAACTGTCCACATTTTGTCTCCAAGTCGGATACCCTAAGTCAAAAATGGGGCACCTAGGCATTCACAACCTCCTCAGACGTGGAGCCTCGGCCAGGGTGGACAGGTACCATCCCTGGACCCAAGGCCAAATAAGCCTCCCGGGAACCCCCCTGCCAACGCCCTGTCTTGAGGTGGGGAGGGGAGAGGACCCCCTCGTTACCTTGATAGGCAGAGAGAAAAGATAGATCTCCTCTAGAGACTTGATCTTCATGTCCTTGACCAGGCGGCCCAGCTTGGTGACGGGGATCCACTGGAGAAAGAAAAGGCGCCGATAACTACGGTCGCCCGATCGGCACCGCCCACGGGCCCATCTCACGCGCGAGGGTCCGAACCTACCTCCTTGTCCTCGGCCTTGCCTCCACGAGCTCCGCGGCCTCGACCCCTGCCCCGACCACGGCCGCGACCGCGGCCCCGGATGCCGCTGCCGAAGCCTCCGCGGAAGCCGCCGCGGCCTCCCATTCCGGGGCCCCCGGGCCCTCCGGGCCCTCCCGCAGCACCGGCGTCATCCGCCATTTGCTGAAAAGAACGTCGAGAAAGAACCAGTCAGCGAGGCCCTGGCACCTGCGGCCGCCCGGGGCCAGGGCTCCCGCCCAGCAGCGCCAACGCGCCGCACCGAGCCCCGCCAGAAGGCCGCGGATCCCTGTCGCCGGGCCCGCGCACGCAACCACCAGCAAAAACACTCACGTGTTCTCTCGGAAAAGAAGAACGAGGTTGCGCGGAGGGAGTATTTATACCACGCCAAGTGCCGCGAGATCTCGGCTGCCTCGCCCCAGCCGCGAGTTCTCCACGGGCCTATAAGGACGGTGGAAGCTCACTTCCGGGTTTCCCCGCGCGCTTCGCGTGCGCCTGCGCGCCTGTGGCTCTTAGTGGCGCCGCCGGCACTGCCAGGCTACCCGGGGCTGCAGGTAGGCCCGCGCCCCGCCGCGTCCCTGGGTGGTAGCTGGGAGGTCGGCGTTGGTTGAAAATCACCCGCGGCTTTGGCGGTAGCCGCGGGTGAGATTCGGCGCCTACAGCTACCGGGGGCCTCAGCTCACCGCCCACTCGTCCGTGTGGGCAGGTGAAACCCAGGCCCCGACACGCGCCCCGCCGGCCCCGGCACGCGTGTGTTCTGGCCTCTGGCCTCTGATCCCTGACCCCGTGTTCTCTCCGCAGGATGCCAACGCCCCGACCGTGAGGCTCACGCCGCCAGGACCGCGGGGAGAGGGGAGCTCTGCTCTCAACGCCCAGTGAGGTTGTAGGTCTGAGTCCTGCACGTGTGGGTGTTCCCGGTCCCCCACGCATCCGCCTGGTGGTGCATCTGTGAGCGCAGGGAGCAAGGTGTGCAGTGGAGGGGAGACCCTGTGGGACACCTCTTGCCGGCCAGCCGGATTCCGCGTCGGATGCCACAGAGGGGTACAGCTTGGGTCCCAGGGGCTGGCAGGTGACTCCTCCGTGGCATCCCGTGAGTGGCAGGGCCAGATTTGAAATCCTGGTGTGTTTCACACACCAAATAGCTTCCACAGTAGCAGATAAAGTACCTTTGAACTGGGCTACCAACCCACTAGTGAGTGTGACAATGAAGGGAAACATCGCTAAGGTGGAGTTGGAAGGCTAGAAGGGGGAGCTCTGCCACTCAACATCAATTACAGACCCCAACAGGGAAGGATGTAGGGATTACTTCTGCAACTCAGCCAGTGAGAAACTGTCATCACCCTTGAACTCTTGCTTTTGTCCAGGGGACTTCGATCCCTCCCAACTTTCTTTCTCCAGGAAATAAAGTTCCTTTCTTTTGTTTTTTGGGGGCTTGCTTGTAGTCTTGCCATAGTTTGCATGTCCTGAATTGCAATTCTGGTTATTTCCAAATAAACACACTTTTGCCAGTGAAGTAGTGGACTTTTATTTTTAAAGTTAACCCAAGAATGAGAGTGTCAGATTCCCAGCTCAAGGGCTTGCATGGGCCCCATATTGCTCTCAGGAGGGGGATAGGGTCTGGGATAGGATTTGGTGACCTTGGTATTCGGTGCTACCGAATGTGCAGTTATCTATTATGTGCCTCACGTGTGGGAATATGTTGGTTTCTCAGGTGGAGACTGATTTCCCCATGTCTTTTCAGAGGCCTGCCCACATCGCCAGAGCCGACCTGTTCTGGAAAGCTTTCCCACAGACTAGGCTCCCCACTATGGTGGTACTACAGGTTGCATGGGAATTTGGTCCTCACTTCCCTCCTGATCTGTACTCTGGAGCTAGCGCCATGAGTCTTAGATCCTAGGAGACCTGATGGTGGGTCGATGTCAAAAGTCCCTGGGCTTTGGAGATCCGGCCTGGGCAGCACTATTTGAGGAGGGAGAAGGGAATGATTCCTACATTCCTGCCAAAGCCTCAGCTTTGGGGAAAGAGTCCTCAGAAGTTTAGTTCCCAGCCTAGTGCTGCTGGGGGGTCAGCTATCAACCACTCCCAAGACAGGGGCTTCAGGGACCCGCCCAGGTCCAGACTACCTATTCCTCATCTCTGAGCAAGGGCCAGATGGTACAGGATCCCAGTGGGCCCTGAGCCAGGGCTGTGATTGGCCTGAGCTGGACAATGCCACTGTGAGGTCGGTCCCCTCCTGCTGTGAAATGGAGGCTCCTGAGCCCTGGGGGTCAGTGGAGCTGCTGTCCAGACACAGATCATGGTGAGCCTGGGACCCTTTTGCCTCTGGCCCTTAAATGTGTTCCTAAATTGAGACCTGTCCAGAGCTGGACCCCATTCCTCACTCTGAGAAAGGGTGAACAGTGGGTTACAGGCTACCCAGCAAGACAAGGAAACCAACCTTTGCAAGGGTTCTGGCCACGTCTAACTCCAGACCAAGGCAGCTTCTCCAGCTGGGGACTGGTAGTCTTGGAGGGCCTTGACCCTCACAGCTGCCCCCTCAAAGTGGGTCCTGACCCAACCCTCCACTTGGGGGGCCCACCTCCCCATCCTGGGGTTTCCCTCTGGGTATGTAGCTGGAACCTGGTCCAGCCAGGCACTGATTTTAGCCTGACCTTTGCAGAGTGGCGGATATGATCTCAACCTCTTCGCCAGCCCTCCCGACTGCAACTTCCTGTGCTCCGTGTGCCACGGGGTTCTCAAGAGGCCAATGAGGTTGCCATGCAGCCATATCTTCTGCAAGAAATGCATCCTCCGGTGGCTAGCCAGGTGCTAGTGGGCGCCCAAGAGGCTAGGAGGACAAGGGCAGGGCTGTTTCCATCCCTGTGGCCCAGAACAGAGAGGAAGGTGGGCCAAGCATTAGGTCACAGTGGGCATAAGAGTCAGCTTCCAAATCTAGAACACTAAAATACATGTGTCCCCGCACCCTGGGGTACTTACAGCCCATGGCCCCAACCTCAGAGCTGAGTTCCCCAGGAAGTACTCAGGCCTCTTCCAGCTTGAGAGAAGGGACCACCTGGGAAGGCGTGTTGCTGTCTCTTGGTCCCTTTCCACTCCCAACACTCCCCATCCTCTGCTCCTGCATCCTAGACAGAAGACCTGTCCATGCTGCAGGAAAGAGGTGAAACAGAAAAAGATGGTCCATGTAAATAAACTCCGGAGGACCATCGGCCGCCTGGAAGTCAAGGTAGCTTGAAGCACCCACTCCCAGCACCCTTCTCGCTCCTGCCAGGGGAGGGACAGAGCCAGGAGAGGGGGTAAGGAGAATCCTTTCAGAAAGAACTGAGAGTTTCTGCTCCAGCAACACTGACTGCAGCCTCGGGGTCATCAGTCCTGCCTGAGTTTGAGTCCCATCTCTACCACTCACTTGCTGTGTGACTTTGGGCAAGTTACCTAACCTTTTTGAGCCCCTGGGGCCTCAGCTGTAAAATGGGGATTATACAAGATTTTTAGAGGATGAAGTGTCTGCTGTGCTGGCCATCACCCCAATCCCCTAATTTTATAGATGAGGAAACTGAGGTTTAAAAAAACAAACTTGGCTTGTGTACAACTGCAAGATCAACCCAGCCATGTACCTCCCTCCATCCCCCATCCCTCAAGCCTTTGGCCCTGTGCACCTGGTCTCAGAGGTCTAGATTCTTCCCACCTCCAAACATTTGCCCAACTATTTCCCCCTCCATATCATTGTTATCATTAGAGCTTGGCAGGCTCCCTGATTAGGAAGGTCCCGGATGGGGGATTCTGCGTAAAGTAGGCTGCTCCAGTGCTGGCCACGTCCGACCTGGTTTGGCTCACATGGTGCTCTCCCCCCACCCTCAGTGCAAGAACGCAGAAGCTGGCTGCTTGGTGACGTGCCCCCTGGCCCATCGAAGGGGGCACCAGGACTCATGCCCTTTCGAGCTGATGGCCTGCCCCAATGAGGGCTGCACGGCACGGGTGCCACGTGGGGCCCTGGCTGAGCACTCGCAGCGCTGCCAACGTGGGGCCCAGCAGCGTTGCCCACTGGGCTGTGGGGCCGCCCTGGGCCCGGTAGAGCGTGCACGCCACAACTGGTACAGCGAGCGGCGCGACGCCTGGACCCAGCGTCAGGAGCGCAGCCGGACCCTGGTGCTGGGCCTGCTGCGGCGCATGCGCAAAGTGCACCGCACCACCAATCTCATCCGCAGGCAACTGGCCCAGCTCGGAGACTTCCTGGAGGAGGACGACGCGCTGCTCGTGGGCGCCCCGCAAGGGGAGACCGAGGCCACCCCAGAAGGCAGCATTGGGGCCGAGGTGTGGGGGGCCCAGGGCCAAGGTACCTTGTAAACAGAGGGGTAAATAAACGCAGAGCCCAGGCCTGGCCCGTCCTGCCACCTCTGTGCTTGCCGGCCTCACAGCTTTATCCCATTTGACACACACACACACACACACACACACACACCGGCCTCACAGCTTTATCCCATTTGACACACACACACACACACACACACACACCCCGCCCGCCCCAGGCCTCACAGCTTTATCCCATTTGACACACACACACACACACACACCGCCCGCCCCAGGCCTCACAGCTTTATCCCATTTGACACACACACACACACACACACACACACCGCCCGCCCCAGGCACTACTGCCTTCACCACGCAGGGACACTGGCCTTTCTCCCTGGGCCGCTGCTGACCTGAAGGCTCTTCTCCCTGCTCTCCGTTTGCCTGGTTTCTCTTCCCTCAGATGCCTCTTCCTCGCAGAGGTTTTCCCTGAAACCCTCCCAGTCTCCTTCCTGTTACTTCTACCTGTCTGTTAACCAACTTCCCAGCCAGTCACACAAACAACTCAAAAACCTGAACTCCTAGGAAAAGCCCACGCCTCACAATGACTCACAGGGAACCGCCATTATCTCTGACCTCCTGCCCCTATCGTCTCAGTACTCCCTGTAGCCACAAGCACTGTCCCCCCCAACAGCCACAGGGGTCCCCGCTTTACTCATTCAGCCGACACCTTACCTCCCGCACCACCCCATTTAAAAGTCCCTGATTGTTCTACAGCACTAATCGCTGAACGCTCCCGATTATTCCTTGCCCATCCTCCGCCAGCCCTCTCTCCTTTAGCACCTCCTGCTCTTGTGCCTCCCAAATGTCTACAACAGTGTTTTGCACATAGAATGTGATCAATAAATATTTGAGTCTCAGAAATTACCCGATTTGTTTATTTACTGCGATATATACCACACCAGACCATGAGCACCTGACTGCACTTGTACCCAAATCCCAGAAGGCCGAGGGGCAAGAGTCTTGGGATGACTTTAGTAAACATTTCCTACGACTCCTTTTTAAAATTTCCACTAAAAGGCAAACAGCGGGCAAACCCCGTGCCCTGCAGTCCTCCGTCCCAGAAGCCCAAGCCGCCTTTAGGCGGCTCTACACTGGTTCCTCCAGGCCAGAAATGCCTCCACCAGTTTCCGCTTCCTGACACAGCAGGCACTGCCCACAGCAAAGATGGCGCCGAGCGCGCAACCTGATGGCGTCACAGTAGTCGTGGCCGGTGACGTCATCTGCGGCGCGCCGGCAGTAAGGAGTGGCGCCCCTGTTTCTCTCACGCGGCGGCGGCGGCGGCGGCGGCGGCGACGACGACGACATGGGGGAGCCCGTGGCGGGGGTGGGCCGCTTCAAGGCCAAGTGAGCTGGGGCGCTAGGGCTGTGGGTGCCGCCCAGGGAGGGAGCGAGTTTCGCAGCCCGAGTGGCAAATGTGCCCGCCCTGGACCGGGCGCCCATTCGGGTCTGGGCAGAGCCTGAGGGCGGTGTACGAACTGACCCGCGAGATTAGTGTTGGTTGCGTTATTACAAAGTGGGAGAGCCAGCGTCGGTTATTAAATTAGGAGCCGGTTTGGGGTTGTGGATGAAAAATTCTAAAGGAGGAAGGGGTGGGCTGAGCGCAAGTCGGGGCTGGTCCTGGACCGCAGCGGGAGGCCCCCACCGTCAGGTACTGGGAGAAGAACCACTTCTGGGCAGACAGCCTGGGGGCTTTCACCTCCTGTCCCTCTTCGACATGGAGCAGGAAGAGAGGTCAGGAGATGGGCGGTCTGCTGTGGCCCTGGAGACCCTGAATCCTGGGCTGATTCAGTTCCCCAAGGACTCTGGCGAACATCTAAGTGCTTAGGGCCCAGGACCGGATGGACTCCTCCCTGCCGTTGAGCTCGGTCTGATGGGATAAGCATACTAAGCAGCTCATTTTCATCAGTGGGAGTGATGAGCAATACCAAAGGGAAGGCCTGGGGTCAATAGCGTCTCTGTGGCATAGTCACCTGGGCTCCACGGTTGGGGGCTCCATTTCATGTTGGTAGCCAAGCCTCCCCTAGTGGAGTTAGGCACCAGTGAAATCCGGGAAGAGAGACCCAAGCCACATACGGGGAACAGCCTGTGTGACACAAAAGTATAGCAGAGGTTTCTCCAAGTCAGGGTCTTAGAAACACATAAGGAGAGGGGAGGGTTTTAAGGCAGGGTAAAACACTTAGGTTTGGAAAGGCCTTTCTGGCAGCAGGACTTGAGATGGTAGAGAGGGGGCCTGGTGAAGAGGCTGGAGCAGCTGTCCAGATGAGCGTGCGGTGGCCTGGACCACCGCGGAGGCAGCCGAGAGGGAAGGGATGAGAGCAGTGTGAGGCTGCAGAAATGAGGGCTACTGGGGAGTGGGAGGAAGGAGCTAGGGTTGAGGAGGGGGCAGGCTGCAGCTGAGAAGGAAGCTGTTGAGGGGGTGTTGTTTTTGGCCAGTATCCTGGGCTGGTACCCTGGGCTGGCCTCCCGCCGCCAGCAGAGGGCCCCCGAGGTCTGGCCTACTCCACTCTGGGGGAATCTGGGAAGACGGGTGTCACACTGCTGGTACTGCCTCAGAACCTGGTGTGCATCACCGCCCAGCTCTGGGTCTCGCATCTTCTGTGACACCCACCTCACGGTACTGCAGAGAGAGGACAGTGAGAAGAGCCATCTCCAATCCCTTGCATCCCCGCCTCTGCCTGGGAACTCCTCAAGGCAGGGGCCTTTTGGATTGAGCTCTGGGAGAGCACCCAGCACAGAGCTGGGCACTGGGGACCAAGGGGTGGGTGACTCACTCTCTCCCCCTGTTCTCTCTCTAGCTATGCTGTGGAGCGCAAGATCGAGCCTTTCTACAAGGGCGGGAAGGTGCAGGTACCAGCCCAGGGAGGGGCAGAGTGGTGGGGCAGGCAGGGGCTGCACAGAGTTACCTTGGCTGAGACCCTTCTGTCACCAGCTGGACCAGACTGGGCAGCATCTCTTCTGCATTTGTGGTACCAAAGTCAACATCTTGGATGTGGCCTCAGGGGCCGTGCTGCGGAGCCTGGAGCAGGTGAGGGTGGGGAGAGCCAGGGCAAGGGGCTGGTGTGGAGGGCAGTCTGTTCTCATGGTGCGCTGTATGCTAACTCTCACCTCTAGGAGGACCAGGAGGACATCACTGCCTTTGATCTCAGCCCTGACAACGAGGTATACGGGGCAGGGATAGGAGGCGGGCTTCGGTACCTCTCACCCAAACTTTGAGCCATTGAGGACATGTGGCCGTGCCTCTTCTCTCCCAGCTGAACTGCATTGTTCTCTAGGTGCTGGTAACAGCCAGCCGGGCACTGCTTCTGGCTCAGTGGGCTTGGCGAGAGGGCAACATCACCCGCCTGTGGAAGGCAATACACACAGCCCCTGTGGCCACTATGGCCTTTGACCCCACTTCCACACTGCTAGCCACAGGTATGGCCCTGGCTGGGTGGCTGGGCTCCTGGAGGGCACACAGTCAGGGGTCTTCAGGCACACCAGCCCCTTCACCTGAAACACGTTCCCACAGGCGGCTGTGACGGGGCAGTGCGTGTCTGGGACGTTGTGCGGCACTATGGGACACACCACTTTCGGGGCTCGCCGGGGGTCGTACAGTGAGTAGAGGGCAGCAGAGGGTGGACGGGGCCTTATGCCCAGGGACACACAACTCACCTGCTGCCCCACCCCACCCCCCACAGCTTGGTGGCCTTCCACCCGGACCCTGCACGCCTGCTGCTCTTCTCCTCAGCTGCAGACGCCACCATCCGTGCGTGGTCACTGCAGGACCAATCGTGCCTGGCTGTGATGACTGCCCACTACAGTGCTGTCACCTCACTGACCTTTAGCACTGATGGCCACACCATGCTTAGGTCAGCGGCCAGCCACCCAGGCCATGGCAGGAAGGGGAGGGCCGCAGCTGAGACCGAGGACTGAGGTGGCTGTCTCCCCCACCCCCCCAGCTCAGGCCGCGACAAGATCTGTGTCGTCTGGGACGTGCAGAGCCACCAGGCCACAAGGACGGTGCCAGTGTTTGAGGTGGGGATGCCAGGGGGCCGGGCCAGTCGAGGGGGCGGGGGGAGGGTGGGCTACTGCCTCTGACCCACTTACCCTCAGAGTGTGGAGGCGGCCGTGCTGCTGCCAGAGGAGCCAGCGCCTGGGCTGGGTGTGAAGTCTGAGGGCCTGCACTTCCTGACAGCTGGAGACCAAGGTGTGTGTGTCCAGGCCAGGGTGGGCAGCAGGGGCTGGGGGAGGTCTGGGCACTGGAGTGCCAGCAGCCCGCGTTCCCTCACAGGCCTACTGCGCGTGTGGGAGGCGGCCTCCGGACAGTGCGTGTGCACACAGCGGCGGCTGCCAGGCCCCAGGCAGGAGCTGACCCACTGCGCTCTGGCCCACCGTGCCGGCCTGCTCCTCGCTGTCACTGCTGACCACAACCTGCTGCTCTACAACGCGTGCTCCCTACGGCTGCAGAAACAGGTGAGTGCTGCCCCTGCTCAGCCCGAAGCTGGGGCTGCCAGCCCTCCACTCATGCAGGCTCTGGCTTGTGCCCCTCCGGCCCCTGCCCCCACAGTTTGCTGGCTACAGCGAGGAGGTGTTGGACGTCCGGTTCCTTGGGCCCAAGGACTCCCACATTGTTGTGGCCTCCAACAGCCCCAGCCTGAAAGTGTTTGAGCTGCAGACAACGGCCTGCCAGATTCTCCACGGCCACACAGGTCAGGGAGCTGAGCTGATGCCCGCAGCACTCTCTCCTGGGCTAGAATGCCCTCCTTTACTGTCACTGATGGCCATTTTCTCTCTAATTTCTCCCAGACATTGTCCTGGCCCTGGATGTGTTCCGGAAGGGGTGGCTCTTTGCCAGCTGTGCCAAGGTGAGGCATCTGGAGCGGTGTGGAGGTATGGGTCCCAGTGGAGGATGCCCAGCCCAGCCTCTGTCCTCACCCCTTTGATTCCCAGGATCAGAGCATCTGTATCTGGAGGATGAACAAGGCTGGCAAGGTGGCCTGTGTGGCTCAGGGCTCCGGGCACACACGCAGCGTGGGCACTATCTGCTGCTCTAGGTAAGGGTAAGGGCTGGGGCCCGTGGTGTTGCAGAGGCCCAGACCCTGCTAAT